CGAAATCTAGGTCTCCTACTCCTCCGCCATCTTGCTCCGCCCCTCTTAAGATTTTTATTTATTTGTCAGAGAGAGAGACAGAGAGCGCGCACAAGCAGGGGGAGCTGCAGGCAGAGGGAGAGACACCCCGCTGAGCACAGAGCCCGACGCGGGACTCGACCCCAGGACCCTGAGATCTTGATCTGAACCAAAATCAGACGCTTAACCAACTGAGCCAGCCAGGCGCCCCCAAAGCAGTTTTAAAGATCCAACTGAGCTGGAAAATATGAACCCTCATTCTAAATAAAATTACTTATTTTAACCGTCATTACCCAACAGTATGAATACAGAATAGAGAAAGAGCAGGAATAGAGAAAAAATACAGCTGAATAAACGAGCATCTCTGCTACAAATCAATCAAACAATAGAACTCAGTTCATTGACCGGTCATTATCCTGCTAGGCTCTGAACTGCTGGAAATGTTCCTACAGTTACACAAAAGGATCTTGCAAGTCTTCTAGCAACAAAAACACTCACAGCTGCTCCCTCAAAAAGCCCACTTGGAGTCAAACCAACCAAGTTCTCTGCTCCCACATTCAGGGAGCTGAGCACTACAGGAGCAAAATCACAGAGCCACACTCACTGCAGGCTCCGGTTTGAGGGGGCAGGGGTTACAGACATTCCCCTCACTTCATAATCAAGCCTATTTTTATTGTCTCTACTACCTCCCCTTTACTTTTCAACTCACTGCACTTTAGCTCCTGCCCCAACTGATCACCAAAACTCTTCGTGGCATAGGGCCCGGTGACCTCCATATGGACAACTCTAGTGGATGTTTCTCTGTCCTGTTCGACCCTGTCTCTGTGATATCTGACACTGTTGATCACTCCTCCTTAAAACTATCTACCCCTGCGGCTTCCACAACACCATTCTTTCCTGATTCTCTTACCCGACTAGTCCTTCATCTCTTTCCAGGCTTATTCTTCTGCTGCTTGCTTCTGTAGCATTCCCATGGTGCCATCTTTCACCTTCTGACCCCCTTACTGAGTTCCTCATCCAAACCTCACAATCTCATCCGCTACTATAGGTTTCAGGCAAGGAGTCCATGTTTTCATGCTATGTGACCTAAGCTCCAGATCTCTGTAACCAACTGCCGCCTAGATATCTCCTCCTAAACACCTCAGACACACTTTAAGTTCAACACATCCCAAAGTGATCTGACTCCCCTTTCCTATACACCAGCTCCATTCTCTCAACTTCTCACCTTGGTAAAGAGGCAAACACCCAGGCCAGAAACCCGAGGGTCATCCCTGACTCCTCCCTCTTACCCACTGCCAGTATCAAGTCACTGAGAATTAATAACTGTTTCTTTTTTTTAAAGATTGTTTCTTTCAAGGTATCCATCCCCTCCTCACCATTTCTATAAGCCACAATTCTTCTTGGTTAGAGGACAATGGCCTCTATCCCCAGGGGTCTGCCACTTTTTAAACTTATCTTCACTCACAAATAAAGTATCTTTTAAAAGATGAAAATCCGGCCACCTCATTGTCCTGCTTGTAATCCTCCCACTGTCCCCACAGGTTTTGATATGAATTTGAATTTCCTTAGTTCAGTCTCCAGAACACCCTGAAATCTGGTATTTGTCAATCTCTCTAGGTTCGTATGCCTTTGCTTTCCCTATGCACTTATCTCCCAATCAAACGACACTAAACACTGCACAGAGAAGCATCAGGCTACTTCTTGCTTCTGTGCCTTAGCACATCATGTCCCCTCTGCTCAGAGAGAACAAACTCACCTGCACCTGGCTGACTCTTCCTTCACATTAAAACCCAGTGTCCCCTCCCAGAGACAAAATGATATACTCAAATTCTGACACTTCAGTGTCTCTCTACTATGACCCTCCTACCATAGCACTTACGTTGTATTCATCTTTGTATCCCCCAAGTAGAGACAAAGCTGGAG